CTTATACTAAACTTTTGTCATACACGTTATTATATTAGCAAAATGACACTTATAATATGACATATTCTTTTTTCTTTAACTATTTAGATAATTTGAAATAGAAATAATGTATTTTGTAATATAACAATTTATAAATATTATCTATTTTTGTAAGACGATTTTTCTCTTTTTGTTAATTAGTTTATAATCCTTATTTAGAATATTTTTCTTATTTTCTTTTGTTTATAAAAATTTTGTTAATATTGATACAGGTTACAATCTAAATTAAAAATTACATGTATCGTAATCTGGTGAGTTAAAATTTTGCTTACGTGCATGCTCTCATCGTGCGCATCCTCCTTTATATAATAAGATAGTCTAAAAATCTTTTGAGTTTGAATAGACTTAGGTTTACGTACCAAAATTTTCAAAAATTATAATATTTCACAACACTTTTGTGCTTTCTCCATATTCTCACAAAAAAAAATTAAAACTTCATTAATCTCTTCAATAAAAATTGTTTCGGCTTTTTCATCAGGAAAAACAACGATTTCTATCTTTTTTGGAAATAAAATGTTATTATTTACAATATAAATATTATCACTTATATGAATTGACCTAATTATTTCTCTGTTTTACGGATAACAAAATAATTAATAATGTAAAATTATCTTATTTTACAAAATTTGATTAGTCCATATTATATTTGATCTTAATTAGCACGTCATGTTTGATTCAACTAATCATATATATACAAGCGTAGAAGAATTATTTCAATTAAACTTAGCCACATGTCAAAAAATTTATCTATCTAAAAAGTAATAATATCTTTATTTGTAAAATAGTAAAAAATAAACTTAATTTAGATAGAATTAGAAAAATCTAATTATTTGGAAAATATGTTATATAATTTGATTGAAAATCAATTAATATCAAAATATAATAGATAAATATTTGATAGATTTCTTGTGGTTTTGTATTAACATTCTCAATCTTATTTTTATTAGTTCATGGAAAGATTTATTAATTTTTGTCTATTTTTCATGAACGATCTAATTTTGCCATTTGTTTTAGACGAGTTATAAATTTTGCCTTCTCAATTAGTTGTTTTACAGAAATATTTTTACTTTTACTTTATTTTCATTAAGGAGTGATCTAGTTTTGTTTTCTATTATTAATATTTCTTTCTTCCACAAGTATATAAAAGTTTAAATTACAAACCCGCATATATGCGAATCTTTTATC